GTGTTCATTTTCTCCAGCAGGTCAGCCTGCTTTGGGCATTGAAAGGATGATCTCCAGGTGACGGGTGCAGGAGCCCTGAGTGTGACTGTGAAACTGCATGCGTGGAAAACAATTTCATCGACTAAGGGAAAACCATGCATGGTATGTCCCAAACGCCATCTGAGGCACACATTACATGAGGTGTCAGTTTATTACATTTTGTGTTCTGTCCTACCTTAAAGCCATGATTGATGCTTATTTGATTTTCTGCTTAATTGATTCGTTCCAAAGTTGAGCCATGATAGGCCAGGCGCAGCCACTTCAGGATGCTCTCCGCCCCCAGTAGAGCCCTCGGTTCATAAGCACAGTGTGATTTATATTAGCCACGGTGGGGGGACCATGGGACCACAGACAGCTTTCCCAAGTGAGAGGCCTATGTCACTGATTTTCTTTGTGACGAGAGCTGAGGTTCTGGGACTGGTTTTCCTTGTTTCTAGGATGCCTGCTTAGGACACAGTGGTACAGTAGCTGCCATGGCAGGGGTGACCCTGCCTCCACTTCTGCTTTGCAACTTGGATACAATCTTTTAAATTTCCATTAGAGGCGCCCATCAGCTCAGCATGCAGGAGCTCTCTGATTCGTTAAGTGTGCCTCAGGGCGGGGTCCGCGTGTCTTCAGTGAGTCCTAGCTTCGTCCTACTTATCCTCCAGAGCTCAGCACGCGAGGGAGTGCCTGAAGGGGCCTGTATTCCTGGGCGTCAATGAGACAGTCAGGTGGAAACACAAGTGCAACTCAGTGGAGCGTGTGACATCATGGAACAAAACCGCCATCAGTGTGTATGTATCACTCACGTCTCCAAGACGGCTACAGCCCTGGAGTGACGGGACATCTGGGACCAGGGGAATGGCCGCCAGCACGGGGTCCTCCCTTCTGAGAGCTGCTAAGCCGGGCGGCTCCACCAGTGTCTCTGTCCTGGGGGTTCTGCAGGCTGGGCTGTCAGGTTTTGTCCTGTTAGGCTCCAGCTTCTTTAGTGGCTCCGAGGTCGCCTTAGACCTGCCGGCCTGGGTCCCCAACCACGCCGCCGTCAGCCCTCCAACCAAGGGCTGAGAGGGGAGCTAAAGGATCCCAGCCCCCAGCCTCCGCTCCTCCCGAGAGAAGACCCCCACACTCTGTCAGCACTCCCTGCGGAGGACAACAGTGACATTAGAAGAAAACCCAGGGTTGTTTTCTGGACTAAGGACTTTGTAACCAAAGTGGCGCCCAGACATCATCCCAGCTGCTGTTTGTCTCCACAGTGCCACACAAGTCTCTCTCAGACACTCAGCAGCTAAAATGCAGACTAACAGGTATTACTCATGTTTTCTTCTTTTCTGGGTATTTTATCATTTTTAAAATTTATTGACTTTATTGAGGTATAATTTATACACAATAAAATGCGCTCATTTAAAGTACAGAATTCAAAGGGGGAGGGTGTAGCTCTGTGGTAGAGCGCATGCTTAGCATGTACGAGGTCCTGGGTTCAATCACCAGTGCCGCCATTAAAAATTAAAAAAAAATAGAGTTTAGTAAGTTATGACAAGTATATACATCCGGGTAACCGTCACCACTGTCAAGACAGCGAACTCCATCACCACAGGAGGTTCCTTGTGCACGTCTGGGGTCCATTCCCACACCAGACACCAGGCAGCCACTGGCCTCACGCCTGTCACCAGAGACAAGCGCTCCTGGTCGGAGGTCTCACAGACACAGAACCACTCACTAGCAGTGCTTCTGTGTGCGGCTCCTTCCGCTCCGCCCAGCGCTCTGATAGCCACCTGCAGCGTGTGGTGCTGACAGTTTGCTCCTTTCCATTGCTGAGTAGTGCTGCCTGGGATGGAGAAGCTACAGGTTTGTTTGCCCACTGGCCTGTGGAATGACACTTGACTTGTCTCTAATTTTTGATACTATAAATACATTTGTGTTCAGATGTTCTGTAGACGTGCTTTCACTTCCCCAGTAACTGTCTAAAAGTGGGACTGCAGTGAGTAAACATTTTCTCTTAAAATTAAAACAATCAAAATATATCATTGTCTGACAGAGTTCAAATCACCTCCTCTCCACTTCGACATTTTAAGGGAAGAGAAGGCATCGCTGGCGCATGACTGTAAAGGGCACGTGGACTTCCCAGAGGCAAGCCAAGTACGACCCCCTCGAGGTCAGAGCTTTCTCTGAGCACAGGGAAGAGGCTCAGGATGTGCTCGAGGAGCGGCTCAACAGGAGGCAGGTTAGGAGGGGACAGCTGGCCAGGCAGTGGGCGGGCAGCCAAGGCCTACACCAGTGCAGCCTCCGTGTCATGAGGCCTATGCTCTAGGTGGGTCTGGGGGCCCTGAGTCTCAGGCTCTCCCAGCTTTGCAAGAAATGCAATTCTGAAGCTCAGCTGTGAGTTCCTGAAAACAAGGCTAGAGTGTGACGAAGTTCCTGGCAAAAATTCATGTGCAAGAAAGCAGCAGCATTTCACATAAGGAGTTAAAAGACGATAATTCATTCAACGTTCCAGTCGTGCATTCTCATTTGATTATAAAAGTTATCCACGACTTTGGCTAGATTAAATCAGCTGCAATCAACTGAATGCATATCAGATGTAAATAATGCCGCCCCTGTCTTCCTTCTCCGCAGCTAATGCCTCAACCCCAGAGGGAAAGTCCCGATTCAACATCAAAGGCTGATGAAACATCTGGTGTAGGAGCTTAAAAAGAATGTGTAATTTTATTTTACATACACAAGTCAGATAAAAAAATAAATAAAAACTTCCTTTGGGTGCTGAAAGTCTGGAGTCAAATCTTCAAAAGCAAAGAGAATAGGGTAAATAATCACTTCAGGGCTCACCAACAAATTAGTCTCATGTCTCACAATTTCAAAGTCTGTGATCACTAATCATTTAGTTGCTCACCATTCCAGTCCATCACCAACCCAAAGGTGACATTTTCACACTTCTAAGTCTCCCTTTTCAACTTAATATTTAAGAAATTGTAAAGTATGAACTACAGAGAGGAAAAAGTAAGGAAAATGTTTAAAGTATTCTGCAGGGCATTTGGCCCAGCTCAAACTACCACATGTTTTTGGATCTCACAGCTCACCATGGGCTCTAAGTAGAGTCTCCTTACTGCACGAGGCAGTGGAAGGAGCGGACCTGCCGTTTCCCGTCTGGCTGGTGACTCACCACACGGGCTGCCACACTAACCTCCCGACGGAAGACAGACAGAGAGGTGAGGAGGACGCCAGCCCAAGTGTCCTGGCAGCCCTGTGGTCAGAGCCAGCTTAGAGTAATTTGCACTAGAAAGCAGGAACTTGGGAGCCCTTGAGCAAATTACTTACTGTCTTTGGTTTCTCGACTCTGAAGGGAGTAATAAGCACCTTTCCTATTTGAAATCTGGAGGCTGGGCCCAGCCTGATCCAAGGCCACCCACTCCACATCCCGTCTGGGGCCTCCTCTGCCAGCAGGGCACACGTCGTCCACATCAGGGGCTACTCAATGGCCTCTCAGTTTTACAGTCTTGGAAAGAAAGGCTCATGGGACATTTCTATGCTTCCAAATTTTACCCTTGGAAAATAGCAATGTACTAAAGAATTACCTGAAAAGAATCTAGATGCAAATCCATCTGGCACACATAATCCTGTTACCAGGTGGCCTCCATGGCATCATTTTCAACACTGGAAAACGCCACTCTGAAGAGCTTCGGGTGCTGGCCCCTTATGGCTGGAGGAGGTGACTCCAGCACTCACAGCTCTAGAGGGGGTTGGGGGGGTCACCAATGCAGACTCGGGCTGAGAGGACAAGCCAATCCAAGTTTCACTAACTCCATTCTTTGAAAAGAGAGCTCACCTACTGCTAAGGAGAGCAGTCACACCCCTGTGCAGCCACAAGGAGGCACCTCCAAGACCGCCAACCACAAGGGGCATAACTAGCCGAGGGCCCCTGCGGCTGGGTCCTGAGACCTGAGCCTGCATCCTGCCGGAGGCCACCATGTTCCCCCAGGCCACTGCTCAAGTGCAGCAGGGACACTAAGGCCTCTGAGGGCAGGCTCTCCCGAGGGACTTTCTGGTGTCTTTGCTGCCTCCTGTCTGCCTCACAGGCTAGTACACGTCACGGAACAAGACGCAGAACGAGACTCCAGTGGTGGTCTGATGGTCCTCTCAGCCTCTCCCAGCCCCTTTCCTAATTCCTTTCACGCAGACATTTCCCCAAATAACATCCTTGCACTTTTAGTCCCATCTTGGCATCTGCTTCTCGGAGGTCCAGACAATATGTCATCCATTCACTTACCCACCCACTCATTCATTCACTCAAGAAATATTGATTGAGGGCCTATGATGCTCCTGGCACTTTGTCTAAGGCCCTGGGGAGATGGGGGGAAAGACTGTGAGGCCTCCGTTCACAACCGCCCCCCTCAGGGCCATGAACTGCTCCACTCTCTGTGGCTCTTACCCTGTGCTGGGTGCGGAGCTGAGAGATGCCACGGGTCTGACCTCATTTACTCTATTCTTGTTTCATGGATGAGGAAGCTGGGACCTTGAGAGACTGTTGCCAGGGGCTTCCCTGATAGGGCCAAAACTTATGTTTTTAACCATCAGGCCATGATGTATCTCCCCAGTTTGGGTCAGAGCTCTGAGCACTTTTCTTTCTGGTTTATGAGGGCCAGGGAAGCCATGTAGAGGGAAACAGGACTTGAGCATGTTCCCAGTCCCACACTGCTCCAGAGCCACGTTAATGATGATGCAGAGCCATGTTAATGATGCTGCGTAACTCATGCAGAAGAGGAGGTTCCTCACCTGGTACGAGTTTCCAACTCATTTTCCCTGCGACAAAGAAGACAGGAGAGGACAGACAAACCCCTGGCTTCTCTGCTTTTCACTCTGATCCCAGCCAAGATCTGGGAAACTGATGGAAGATGGTCATAGACATCCAGACCTACTGATGGGTCAGCCACACCAACCCACGTGTCATCAAGGGCAGCCTTCTGAAAATTGGTGCAAACTCATACCATGATCTCCAAGGTCAGCTATGGTGTCCTCCACACTTGACTCCCGTGTGCCAAGGTCCAGGGAAGGAATGGGCTGAGATGCAGGCAGGTCCTCTGCAGCTGGGGCATCAAATTCCTTGTGGAAAATAATTAACAATTCATGAGAAGCCAGCAGGAGGAAACAGCATTGCCACAAATGAAACAAGATGCTTGTTTAGAAGACGATTTGGAAACAAAAGCCTACCTAATCCTCTTCCTCAAACATGAAAACATTTTCCAATCTCAGCAAGGCAGCTTGGAATAAGAGAAACAGTCCTGAATCAATGGACAGGTGTGACCTTGGGCAGAGCATTTAACCCCCCATGACCTCAGTTTCAGGGTGAGGCAGGTGGACGCCCTGGGGCACAATCGAAGGAGAGATTCACTTGATCGGCAGCTGAGAGCCAGGAGCTCCTTCAGCCGCCCACCTGGGGCCTCACACTGACCCTACCCTTGTCCAGGCCTGTTCTCAGCATCTCAAAACTGGATATGCTGGCCTGGAGGACATCCAAGTTTCTTCTGGCTGTAAAAGTTCCATGAGTCTATGAATTTCAATTTTCTAAAAGAAAGAGCTCTGACAGGTGACATGAAAGGACTTACACTTCAAAAAAGTAAAAGTTAAACTTCTCAAATGTATCAGTGGGTATTTCAAGTAATCATTGTGTATGTGTGTGTGTGTGTGTTTGCAACCCAGAGCTAATGCTGAACTGACCAATTTTACTTGATAAACAGCTTTCATGGAGAACTACTCCAAGACAGTCTTCTTATCAAAAGCAGAAAGTTCAAATTAATCTTAAATGAATGAGTAAAACAAAGCCGTGCCACACTGCGGTGAGTCATTTGTGAAAATACAGTCACAAAATATTTTTAAGAAGCCCATTTTTGTTTCTGTTTTGTAAATGAATTTGTCTTTTTTTTCCTTTAGATTCCACATAAATGTGATATCATATGGTATTTTTCTTTCTCTTTCTGGCTTACTTCACTTAGAATGACAATCTCCAGGTCCATCCACGTCACTGCAAGTGGCATTATTTTATTTTTTTTTTTATGGCTGAGTAGTATCCCATTGTATAAATATACCACAGCTTCTTTATCCAGTCATCTGTCAATGGACTTCTAGGTTGTTTCCATGTCTTGGCTATTGTATATAGTGCTGCTGTGAACATTGAGGTGCATGTATCTTTTCGAATTGGGGTTTTCTCTGGACACATGCCCAGGAGGGGGATTGCTGGATCATATTGTAAGTCTATTTTTAGTTTTTTAAGAATCTCCATACTGTTTTCCATAATGGCTGCACCAAACTACCTTCCCACCAGCAGTGTAGGAGGGGTCCCTTTTCTCCACAGCCTCTCCAGCATTTGTCATTTGTGGGCTCTTGAATGATGGCCATTCTGACTGGTGTGAGGTGATACCTCATTGCAGGTGTGATTTGTGTTTCTCTGATAAGTAGTGATGCTGAGCTTATTTTCTCATGCCTGTGGGCCATCTGCATGTCTTCTTCACAGAAGTGTCTATTTAGGTCTTCTGCCCATTTTTTGATTGGGTTGTTTGTTCTTTTTGATACTGAGCTGTGTGAACTGCTTGTATATTTTGGAAATTAATCCCTTGTTAGTTGCAGCATTTGCAAATATCTTCTCCCATTCCATAGGTTGTCTTTTTGTTTTATTTATGGTTTCCTTTGCTGTGCAAAAGCTTTTAAGTTTAATTAGGTCCCATTTGTTTATTTTTGTTTTTATTTCTATTACAGTACGAGATGGATCCAAAAAATACAGGGGCAATGCATGTCAAAGAGTGTTTTGCCTATGTTTTCTTCTAGGAGTTTTATAGTGTCTAGCCTTACATTTAGGTGTTTAATCCATTTGAGTTTATTTTTGTATATGGTGTTAGGGAATGTTCTGGTTTCAGTCTTTTACAGGGAGCTGTCCACTTTCCCCAGCACCACTTATTGAAGAGACTATCTTTTCTTTCCAAAATGATTATTTGGAAAAGTCATAGAAGAAAAGTAAAAAAGTTAAGTAAGTTATCAGACACTAAAATGTAAGCTCAATCTGGAAACTACATTTTTATTTGCCATGTGGTAACTCCAAGAATAAAGTTATTTAGGTTTTATGAAACAAAATGTGACCAGGCCTGTAATTCTCACCTTCCAACCGCTGGGGGCAAAGTACCTTGGAAGCAGGGGACCCTGAGCATTCCTGAAAAAAAGTCCTGGTTTCTATCAGCTGATTAAATAGGGTACTTTACATACATTAACAAAGGCAGACTTCTTAATACCTTCCAGACTCCCTGTGAGGGTCTGTGGACCTGCAGCTCTCAGTCCTGAGGGGAAGAAGATCTGCCCCCACAAGTCAGCATTTCAGGGCCAAGAAAGTGCCGGGGAGCCGAAGGAGGGCGCTCCGTGTTTGGAGGGGGCTTGGTGGCATCTAGACGCTTCCCGGCGGTGGCCGGGGTTTGACAGACACAGCTGCTGATCCCTCACCCCTGGATCCAGCCATTCCTCCCCTCACCAGGTTCTTTCTGAGAGCAGGAACGATCCCCCTCCCATGTCTCTGGGCTGGCTTCACTGAGGAGGGTGGGTGGAGATGGGGGTTGCCTCATCAGTGTCCCCACACCATCTGCTAAAGGGTTCAATGGAGGAAGACTTGTAAGGTCAGAAAGGGCTGACCCTGGCTGGTACAGCTTTGTGTTTTCAGAACTCAAAAGGCCTCGCAACCCCTCAGTAACTGAGGGGAGGCATAAGACAATGTTTGAGGCTCTGGCCTGTCTGAGGGTGAGCTCTGCTGGGGCTTGCACAGCCCAGGGCGTGGGGCCCTCTGATTACTGGGCTGCAGCAAAACCAGCCTCCCCTGACCTCAGGGATCACCCCCACAGCCGTGGGGGGCTCGGCTCCTCCTGCTAAAGGTAAGAATCTCCCTCAGATGGAGGGATCTCCAACGAACAAATAACCAGAGTCCTCCACAGAAATGACTCCTTCCCAAGCTGCTGTCACCTACCAAGCGAGGAGGCTGGTGTCCATGCCTACTATCCCAATACGACCCTGAAGAAAGACCACCTCAAGTCTCAACACCACACCAAGGCCTATGAAGATGTTTTTAACCCTTAGGGGGATGGTGTTTGCTGTTCAGGAGCTTGGGGTGCAGAGGACACGCATCTGGGGACGTTTCATGTGAGTCAGCAACCCTGCATATTATCGGCCATCTGTGAAAATCCTTCAAAGTTTGAAAGGGGTTATTAACACAATGCACAATCACATGGATGGGAGACAGAAAGTAAAAGGGGAAGAATGAAAAGTAAGTCAGAAAACGAACAACGGACTAGCGAGGTAAAGAAAACGACAGCATGGCTGAGACTCAGAACCACACACACCCACGTCTGCCCGGCAGGGTCGCGGTCTGAGCTCCGGTCGTCCTCCACCGCAGCGCCCGGCACAGCTGCTCCGAGTCCGCGTGCTCACTGTCCGCCCTCGTCCCCAGACGCCCCCAGACGCCCCCAGGACTTCCTCCCGGGACCTGCGCAGTCGGTCTGGGTGCTTTCCCCCACCTTGTCTCTCTTCCTACCCAAGCATCGGAGGCAAGGAGAGGTCCCAGGTGAGACTTAAGACGGAAGGGCACTTACATGGAGCGCGTCAGCAGTTAGCTGCTGGAAGTTCCCACGTCTCAGCTCCTGCATTCGTTTGTTGTTTTCTTCATACTTTTCTTCCGCAAGCTTTCTGCATAATGTGAACGTAGAAAAGGAGCTGTAAAGGGTACTTTACATACATTAACAAAACCACATCTGTTACACAGCTGTGCGTGATCCCTGTTTCAATAGGCAAACTGGGCTGTCGGTCGGGATGCCAGGCCCGCGGTCTCTCCCTCATCGGCGTGAGTGCGGTGCAGCCCCACCGGGTGAGTGCACACAGGATGCCTGGCCCCTCGGTCGCCTCAGAGCCCCCCAAACGCAGCAGAGGGCGGTCCCCACCCCGTGCGCTCCCAGCCTGTGCCGGCAGGGGCGTGTGTCCCTGACGCCCACTACGCGCACCAGGTAACAAGCCCACAGACGGGGGCAACAGAGATGGCATTCCATGGAATTAATGGAAAAGAGTATGAGAGTCGCTGTGAAGGGAAATTTTTTCCCAGACGTTTTCTGTTTCCTCTACAACAGGAGAGTTGAGTTTAATAGATCTATTAAGAAACATTTGAGTTCCTGTGATTCCTTGTGTGCTAATTTATACTTTGATTTTTGGCAAATTCACTGAACATCCCTGTAGTCAGATTTTCTTGTCTATAAAGCAGGTATGTGATAACCCTCATGACAACAGAGTCGTTTTCTAGATAAAACACTTGAGCTCTCTCGAGTCCTAGAAACAATCATCAAAACAGCTCTAATACAATTCATTCATAATATCAAGAACAAACTGTTTTAAAAATTTCCCTTAAATAACAAAAATATTAAATGTCATGAGGAAGATCTATGACTTTTGTGTATTAAAAGTTTTAATCTGAAAAATAATTTGTACTGTGCATGTAAGTTATTACATTGCCTTTTAAATCTGTTCCTGTTGGAGATTTAACTTTCCTTCTACCCTCAACCAGTGACATGAATCCTAGGAACCATTCCCGGGGTATGTGAAATAGATTTGGGACTGGGAGTTGATGCAATGATTCAAACAACTTTCATGAATGTATTTTCTCAGCAGAATCTACAGTCGGTGATTCACTGGTTTATATACATTGTCCAACTGAACATTCAGTGATACCACACTGGTACTATGAAACTCCATCGTGGGAGTATTTACACCACGGAATCAGCAAACAGAGTAGCAGCCACTCCCTGGGCCCTGCACCCCCGGCGTGGCTGTGACACATTCACCAGCACCCTGCTGCCCATGAAGCACTTTGACGGAACTCTTCACGTTTACTAAAGAAAACACATATTAAGGGAAAACCATCTTGGGGTCTTAGTCAGCTCCTCGTGATAGTCACTGTAAGTAAGTACAAGGACACCTTGAATCACTTTTCAGACACATTAACAAGGTCACACGATGGACTAATTTGAGTTTCAGGTCTTTTTTGGTCTCTCTAGTTCTCGGCTGAGGCTTCTAAGCCACCAGAAAGATGGCAGAGGAAGAAAGAAAAAGAAAAATTAGGAAACTGGGTCACTTAGCAACTGAAAAGCCAGTGTCTGAGAAACTGGGAGTGCAGAGCTCTCTGGAAGCAAGTCCCTTTCCCGTGTGGACTCGAATCACCATGGTGTCCCACGCCTGCAGCTCTGTCCTGAGCACAGGCTTGGCAAAGGCACCCGCAGCACAACAGTGCTGCTTCCAACCTTCCTAAAGCCATCACGAGAGCCCTGCAGGAACACTCTTCTCCCTCCAGGGGCGAGGAGGCTCCGGGCAGAGGGGTTCAGCAGCCCCCTTTCACCCGCTCCCCAGGGCGTGCACGCAAGGCGTCAGCAGCAAGGGGCTTCGTCTGGAGGCTGGCTCTACATTTTCGTCTCTGATAGCCTCCCTGATGTTCAGTCCTCCCTTCCACACAAGAATGAAGGCTCATAATAACGGTGCCTGGCACCTCAGAACCATCTATGGCTCAATTACTGTCTTCTGAGGGAAGGAGGGAAGGGATAAACTGATAAATATCTAATGAGAGTGTGCAGTTTGATTTCTTGCTGTGGTTTCCGCTCTTCCAACAATCGCCCCAGAGCCCTGGGGGCCCCTTGGGAAGGCCGCTTACTTCAGCTTCCCGGCCTCCTCGTCAGCCGCCTGGACCTTCCTCAGCCGCATCCGCTCTCTCGGGGTCATCTTCTGCACTTCCGACAGTGCCCGCAGAGTCTGCAGGTGGAGCTTTCTCTGCCTGCAGGTAACAGAGAGCCCCGATGCAGCCCTTCTGATCACGCTCAGAAAAACGGAACAAGTCTTTACAGCAGGTACCATTATACCACCGAGAAGGGAAAAGCGTCTCGAGGCACACCGGGCAAAAACTAATAAACACTGGGTAGGTAATGAGCCAAGCAGGACTGTGGTTAATTGGCAATATTTTTCAAATTATATTTTCATTTAAAAGCAAGTTACGTACTTTCCACACTTCTGCTCATGTCATTGCCTGTGACTAGTTTTCATAATGGAAGACCAATGAGGACCAATGGGCCGTGAGGGAGGAACAGACCAGCAGACTAACTCAGCCACGCGGATAGGACACAGTTTTGGAATCAGGCAGGCAGGGTTTGAATCCCATCCCTACCACTCACTAGCTCTGTGGCTCTGGGCACATTACTGATCTCCCTGAACCTCAGTTTTCTCGTCCATGAGGAATGGGCTGTCATGAGTATCACGTGAGACAATGTATGTAGAGGGCGTGGCACATAAAAGGACCCCCAAATGGCGGTATTATTCTAGCTGGGTCCTCTTGAATGTCTTACACTCCAGGCTTCACACCGTAGGTACTTTCATGGCAGCATGGTTGGTGATCGATTGCATGGTCTGCAATGTGCTACGTGCCATATGCCCTTGGGCAAGTTACAGAACCTCTCTGATCATTTAGATGATAATGATAATGGTACTTACTTCACAGGGTGGTTGTGAGTAAAACGAGTTAATTCATTCGAAGTGCTTACAACAGAGCCAAGTGTACGGTTGTCATCCCCAAAGTGTTAGCCAGTGTTATGAAAGAACCTCTTTCTACAGTTAAGGACATGTGCCCCCATGAATCATGTATGGAAAGGTGTGTGACCTCTTCTCAATGGTACTGTTTCTGCGCCTGGCCTGGTTAGGACCAACAGCAGAATACTTTTTGCATTCAACTCCATCCTTAAGAAACACTATGAGGAAGTTATAATGACCGCTCATTATAGGCAGTTCTCATCCCTCTGGAACACAGTTCAGATCAGAGAGTTCAGGGGACACGCAGTTTTCAGGAATACACATGCCTTATTTTGTAAGACCAAACAGAGCTCCTTAACACATTGTCATAGATCTAGAAAATAATAGTGACAATGTGAAATCAGTACTTCATAATGTGGAAGACCACCCAAACAAGTGGCTGCCAGCACACTTTGACTGTGAGCACTGTCAGGCAGACTGTGTCACCACCGCAGGGCAAAATGAGAGCTAGAATTAGTCCAGTAGTTTTAAAATGAGATTTCTTCCACTCTCACATATCTTGTTAATAAAATAGAATGAGACGTTCCAGCATTCCTGAAAAAATAGGTAGAAACCCAAGAAAACGAGGCTATGGGAGGATGTCTGAGGACTTGCCCCTGAGGTTAGGGCATGTTCGCTGGAGCTCATGCAGTAAACGAACACTGACAGCTTTGATGGTCCAGTTTTCTCAGTTTGAATGTGAAGACGGAAAACCAACACAGTGCCGTTGAGAAACCACTGGACCGAGGATTAGAGAAGCATATTTGTGTTGTTTGGCCTTGAAGATCAGCCAGTGAGGGCTCCTGTTCTCACCCACTGCCTTGCACAGCTCTGGGAGGGACTGTCCTTCCCATCAGGTCCTTACAAAATTAGGTAGAGAGTTCTTTCAGCAAAATGATAGGTTTGGTCTTACCAGGGGTGCCCCTGTGGAATTCTGCAGTACACAGCTTGAACAGCTGCCCAGGGCTGTTCTGAAGTAACCTAGAATTTGGGGCTCTTTTAAGTTAAGACAGAAATTTTGAGTGAGGTAGGAGAGAGAAGTTAGATGAGGAAATAATTATGGTTCTTTGCGAAACATACATTCTCTGGTTCTCATGTCTATCTCCAGAAAGTGGATTTGGGCTTATTTTCAATTGTCCTAGAAGTCCAATGTTATCTTTTCAATAGCTACTCTGCCAGTTCCTGTTAAGCAAACAACGTGCGAAAGCTATTTATGCTTAATCTGAATGTTCATTAGCATAAATATCACTAAATGTTTGAGATATGAATTTCCCTCTATACTTAGAAGGCAACTGCAGAGCTACCCTGCAGATCTGTAAGCTGCGCAGAGTTTTAAACTTTTATGACTTCAATTTGCTACCACCTGGGGTGAAGGGCTTTGGAACACCAAGTTACTGAAGCTCCTTAATTTCTTGGCAAGACTTAAGTGAATCCTAGGAGACTCCAAGCACTCAGCTTAAAGCTAATAGACTTTTTAAGACAAACGCATTTAACACTTACACTCAATGGGTTTTTAAAAAAACAGAGCACTTACTTACACGGCATTAATTATATAAGCAGCCTCCTTCTGACAATTCAAATTCTTGTCTTCCAGCGTGATTTCCGAATAGTGACACATCAGATGCTGAAAAAAAGAAAACCCCCGATGCACCTTAAAGACTCCTCTTCAAAGATGAAAAGGCATAAAACCCCCAGGTGCCCTTCTGATCTGTAGAACGACTGCCCGTATCTGGGGGCTTGGAAACAAACCCACTGGTAGCCATTTGTCCTTCTATAAAGGGTTAAAAAAATAACACAGTAACTTATGCAAACAGAATCTGTGGGGTCAGGCTCCTGCCCACCTGGCCACCTTCATCCTGACAACCTGCTCTCTCGTTCCAGCTACAGGCAGGCCTGCCCTCGGCTCCCCATTCGGGCCTGCAGTGGACAAGCCTCCATGCCCAGGGCCGGGACCAGGCTGAGACAAGGGAGGCACTCACCTCAGGTGCAAAATTTAAGGGGCACAAGAAACTCAGTAACCTGGATAAATAATATTTTAATGCAATATTAAAACAAATCAATAATAGTGATAAAAGCTGTGGAGAATACGACACCAAAAGTTTAAATATTGCCAGGATCCAGTCCTGAACTTGCTTTGTTCCCATCTGAGCTTGGGTCCACTCGCCCCCACGCAGCAAAGCCAGTCTACTGACCGCAGGTCGTAGTGAAGGAAAGCCCAGCGTGTTCCTCAGATGCCAAGCAAGGAGAACGGGCGCCTAATGTTCAAAAGACTCCAACTCCCCATGGCTCTCCAGGGAGGGTTTTTAAAGGTAACATTCGGGGTGAAGTTTGTAGTTCGTGCACTTTCTTCTGATTGGTTGGTGGTGAGGTAACAGGGTGATGTTTTGGGAATCTTAAACCTCAACCTGCTGCTTCACCAGTCTGGGGTCCACGTGCCTGTGGTCAGGACGTAGTCCCCAGTATCCGCTTGGTGAGGTCTTAGTTTCTGCAGAACAGCTCAAAGATCTGTGTCAGATCGTTGTGAGTCTCCATGGAGGAAAAACTGGGACTCCATTTTATCCCTGAACTGTTGTTAAAGCTATCATTATTTTTCTTGCTTGAATGCTTTTGTTCCTGCTTTCCCTCCCTTCCCTAGTTAGTAACTGCTTAAGTCCACTCTTTGAAGACTGAAGCCCTTTTCCCCAGAAACTGGAAGTGGGGGACACACGAGGCTTTCATGCCCTGAAGGCCCCACAGGGTCCTGCCCAGGTTCAGCTTCACCTTAATCCTAGCCCTCTTGGATCCTGTCCTTGAGCTTATGATATTTTGTTACCTTGAATTTTTACATTACTTTGGATATTTAAACACTGCATTACAATATTACTCATCTTGATTACTGAGTTTTTGGTGTCCTCTTTAATTTTGTCCCAGGACAAATGCCTCACCTGCCTCACCCTAGTCCCAGGGGATCTATTGGATGCCTTTCGACTCTTTTGTTTGTTTGTTTACTCACAGACCCTCCAGTGTGGTTTTGATCTCAACCAACTTTTGCCTGTTTTCCGACGGCCTGCCCTCGGGCAAGTGGAGCCCGCTTTGCACAGAGAACTTGCTGCACCTCCCTTCTCCTGTGCTGTTTCTCCTCGTCCTCACCACCCACCCCAGCACATGCTGGCATTGGAGTGCCCCCACCCAGGTCCCTCTGGGAACATCCCGCTCCCTAAGTCAGGGCTGTGCCCTGTGACTCCAACCCCCTTCCTCAAGCTCCCTGAGGGGCTGGCTGCTTCCCACACCTTGATGGTGTCACAATGTCACCAGCTCCTCCTCCGAGCACCCAAGCCCTTCCCTTCCCTTATTTTACAGCATCCTGTTTGCTTTCTTAGTACTTCCTAGCACTTCTAACATTTACAATTATTTTCTTTGTTTGCTGACTCCTTCTTAGTAATTGGGTCCTCTTACTAGCAGTCAAGCTTCAAAAGAGCAGGAGACACATCTGTTCCTTCCAACCTGTTGCCTCCAGTGTCAGCACAGTGCCCGGCGCTCAACTGACGAACGCCCCTCAAGTCAGCATCCTTGTTTCCCGTGGATGGAGAACAGGACGCTGATGAAGAAGACGTGTGCCCGTTTGTGAAGGTGAACGGCTGCTCTGTGAGCCCACTTAAAACTATTCCTACAATTAAAGGGAATCTGCCTGGGGGATTTGTATTGTAAAAGCCTATACAGTTTGAAAAAAAGAAAGACCTCCCCAGAGGGTACCATTTGCTTTTTCCTGATCACCGGAGGCAGATTCTCTAGATCCAAATTTCTAACCTACAGGAAAACAAAATAAACTCACCGAATCAATAAAACGTATCCCTAAGATCTTTTCTGCGGGGCGGGGGGTGGGTAACCAAGGCCCCACGTGGCCGAGCCTGCAGCATAGCAGCACCCTTGCACCAGCAGGCACGCGCTCACAGAACGTGGAGGGAAGACTTGTCAACCAGCCGCTCTAAGGGTGGACGTTTAGTTTAGGCAGAAAGTCACAATCCTAACTTCTTGCACCTGGGACCCCAGGGAACTGGAGGTTACACCCCTTCTTTTGCAAAAAGGTTGCCTACTGATAATTTCTCCCAGATTTTCAGGAAAATCTTATTGCTTCTTCCTGACTGATTCTTAAGGCACCTTATTCCCACAGCACATCTTCAAGTCCTAGAATGTATATAAATGCTAATGCGTGCTTCCTGGACTCCCACTCATTTAAATACCTGTAGTTGTGCATCGATGTAAGGAAGTTTTAAAATTTCTATAGCAGATGGTCTCAATGAAGGACTCTTGTTCAACATGCTGTAATGTTTAAAAAGAAAATGATTGTCCAAATGCGCTAAAATACAAGTGCACCTGAAATCCCTCCTGCGGCAATGCGAGCCTCTCCATACCTTTCCATGATGGCGTTCAGCTCTCTGGGGTACGTCGCGGGGAGGGACGGTGTGCTGCCTTCCACAATCTTTAAAACCACGGACAAGAAACTGGAGCCTGCGAATGCGTGGTTCAGGCAGCACATCTCGTACAAAATGCACGCCAGAGACCTGAAGACACAGGCAAAGAATTTAAATGAGGAATAAACGTCCTACTTTAAACTTGATTGTCACGCAAATTCTCAGGTGTGTCAGGGCACTGGGTGTGAGCACAAACAAACCCCTTAGCTGTTTGTTTAAAAGCTTCAGTTCCACACTTTGTTTTCCATTATGCAGGCTTAAAAAAAAAAAAAACAGGAAAAAGTGAAAGGAGAAAGCACAAAATGTGAGTCTGAATGAATACTTTTCATCAAAGAGAGAGAGAAGTATGTCTACACGTAGCAGGGACTCAATAAACATGTGATCAGTGTGGTGAGGAACTGGCGCATTTACCTCTGTGAAGGGAAGATAAAGTGCAGGCGAATACTGTCTTCCTCAGGCAGTTCAGTCAATGTCGTGTACGTGAAATACAATTTAAATGTTTTAGCCCAACTTTCCCTCTAGTTTGTGTCCAAGCGTTTTGAAAGGAAACCGGCATTCTTTATTAGTTTTCTAAACAGACCCCATTTGCCAGCTGGCTTGAAGAGCACCGCCTGCAGCTCACATTAAAGTGTGTGATTCTCCCTCTGGGAGCATGAAATAGGGTATTAAACCCCTAGATGAGTCCAACACTAATTTGGATTAACCATGCAAATCAGCAATCTCTAAATCAGCAGAAAAAAAATTTAAATAATCTACATCATTAAGAAAACTAAGGGGAAATTCCTGCCTGAACTTAGTGTTAAGAAAGAACTGTAGTTCTTCTGGATAATGGGTTATTTTTATCTTAATGGTATTTTGAATTCTGTAACTGTCCAGATCTCCCTCTTCTTATTAGTTGCTTGAAAGATTAGAAATAAATTTGCACTTGACCTTGTGTAAGCTGTATTTTATGTAAAACACTGTTCTACTTTCTCATAAAAGGCAAGGCATATTTAAATATATACATACATGAATACTATAATTTTAACCATTTTGTGGGTGTTCAAGAAAATGTGCATTTGCAAGAAAATTCCGGATAGACACACTGAAAATGTTTCTGTTCCAGTAAACAATAATCATACTAAAATTTTCAAACTGATTGACACTTTACATATTACAAAGCAGTTCCATATATATCTCAACAGAGCCTCGTAACTTCCTAGTGAAATAGAGCCAATATTGTATTTTCCCCATTTTATACATAAGGAAACCGGCTCAGAGAAATAAAATGACTTGGCCAAGGTCACACAAGTGACCTTGACTGACTCCTGAATTAAGTCTTTTTCCTTCCAAACCCTTAACTATTTCCAGATGGAATACTAGAAAGAGAGGGATGTTAGGAGAAATCACATGACATTGACTATAATTCCAAGATCCATGTAAACCTTATAAATTATGAAAATTATTCGAAGCTCAATAAATTTTCATCCATCTGCAAGACTACTAACTGGTATTTGGAGTAGTAGCACACGTCTCGATTTCTATATCCATAAAAATAATTTCAATCAAATAAAGGTGAAAGAAAGACATTTTTGGATCCACAAAAACTGAGAAAATTCATTGCCAGCAGGAAAGCACTAAAATTCTGAAGGGGAGTTCCTCCAACAGAAGAAAGAGGATCCCAGGCAGGAACAAGGGATGAAAGGAGTGTAGAGCCCTGGAGGAGGTGGTGTGTGGGTATGTGTAACTCAATATTAACTTCATAAAACAATACCAACTCTCTTGTGGGACTTAAATATGTAGGATAACACTTCATGACAAAAATAATGCAAAAGACATAAGATGGTAAAGTATCACAAGGTCCTAACATTACTGAGAAAGTGAAGTAATCATTTTTACTAGACTGTAATACGTCAGGATGCACGTTAGAATTGCTAGGGTTGCCACTGAAAGAATAGTGAAATAATGTGTAACTGACACGTGCATACTACAAGTTACTGGAGGGAAAAACTCAAATATTAAAAATTCAAATTAGAAGAAAGCAAGAAAGGGGAAGGGTATAGCTCAGTGGTAGAGCATATGCTTAGCATGCATGAGGTCCAGGGTTCAATTCCCAGTACCTCCATTAAAAGAAAAAAAGAAGCAAGCAAGAAGGACAGAAAAAGGAACATTAAACAAGTGAGATGTATAGAAAGCAAACAACAAGATGGCAAATAAAATTATAAATATGGAGTAATTACATTTAACATAAATAGACAGTACTCCAATAAAAAGATTTCCAGACTGGGTAAAAAATTATAACTGTTCATGAAACAAATCTTAAATATAAGAACACAGAGCAGTTGACAGAAAGAGATATACCATGCAAATACTTATCAGAATATTGCTGGTGTAGCTATACTAACACCAGACAAAGCAGACTTTAGGGCAAGAACCACTACTAGGGTTAAGATGGTAGACTGGTAAAGAAAGCAAACCTCTAAGAACATATGAGAGTTCTAAAACCACATACACTCAGCAACACTGTGTGTGTACGTGTGAGCACATGCATGTGTACGTGAAGCAAAAATCAACAGAAAGAAAAAGAAAAATAGACAAATTCACAATCAGTGTGAAAGACTTTAACACATTTCCAATAACTGATAGAAAAAGCAAACAGAAAAAAGTCAGTAAGGATAGAGAAAATCTAAACACAATTACCAAAATTGGCAAATTAACATAAATGTATTGAACAATGACAGAATTCAGGTTCTTTTCAAGGGCACATGAAACATTTACCAAAATTGGCCTTACAGACAATTGAAATCTTCAGGGAGTATTTCCTGTGAAATTAAGTGAAAACAGTGAAATTAATCTAGACATTAACAACATTAAGCTACAAAATCTCCAACTGCTTGAAAATTAAGGAATACACATCTTAATAATCCCTGGGTCAAACAAGAAATCACAACAGAAATTAGAAAATATTTTTAAATGAATGCTAATAAAGGCACAAAATATCAACACTAATTAAATGCAGCTAAAGTAAAAGCTTTTAACAAAATTGAAAGTATCAAATGCATATATTAACAAAGAAAAAGTCTTAACATCTATCGTTCAAGTCAACTTGAGAAGCTAGAAAAAGAGCAGCAAATCAAATGAAAGAAAATTTAAAGAAGGAAAAAAATTTTAAAACAGTGAAAATTAATGAGCTAGAAACAAACATACAATAAAAATAAAATCAATAAACACTAAAAATGTAATACACCTCTAGCAAGGCTGATCAAGGAAAGTGGAAACATCACAGAGGTGAAGAAGGCCAGGGTGGGAAAGCAGGCAGTACTGAGGCTGCACAGGTGTTAGAAGTGTCAGGGTGACGTCATAAACATAGTTTTCTCCAAGAAATCTGACAAACCAGATGAAATAATAGTCTTTAAAAATGTAACTTAGCAAACTGATATGAGAAGAGATAGAAAATCTATTAAACAGAGAAAAGTAACTGTTTAATATAGTAACTGAAAAAAAATTTTAATAAGGGAAACTTCCATAGCCAGATGGCTTTACTGTACTGGCAAATTCTTCCAAATATTTAAGGAATAAATAACGCCAATCTTATTTAATGTCTCCTTTTATAAACATATAATGAGGAAAAGATAAGAAAGGAAAAATACAGAAAAAGGAAAATTACAGGTGAATTTTTTCATCAACACACAGTCAACAAATCCAAACACACACACAAGTGTGTGCATTACAAATATGGATACTATGATACAGTAAAAAGATAATATATCATGACCAAATAGATTTTATTTCAGGAATATAGAGTTGACTTAACATTTAAAAATCAATCAATGGAATATACCTTTTTATAGAAGAAAAGAGAAAATTAAAATTACATCATCATCCTGATGCAGAAAAAACATTCGATGAAATTCAAAACCCACTGTGGTGTGGAGAAAAAGGAACCCTTCCACACTGTTGGGGGGACTGTAAATTGGTGCAGCCTCCAATGGAAAACAGTATGGAGATTCCTTAAAAAACTAAAAATAGAGTTACCATAGGATCCAGCAATCCCACTTCTGGGCATATATCCAGAGGAAACTCTAATTCAAAAAGACACATGCACCCCAAGTTCATAGCAGCACTTTTTTTTCAATAACCAAGACATGGAAGCAAACTAAATGTCCATCAAGAGATGACTGGATAAAGAAGATATGATATATGTACAATGGAATACTACTCAGCCATAAACAAGAATGAAATAATACCAGCAACATGGATTTGCAGCAACATGGCTGGACCTAGAGATTATCATATTAAATGAAGTAAGTCAGACAAAGACAAATATCATATATCACTTATATGTGGAATCTAAAAAAAAAGATACAAATGAACTTATCTACAAACCAGAAACAGACTCACAGACATTCAAAACAAACTATGGTTACCAAAGGGATAAGGAGTCGGGGGGAGGCATAAATTAGGAGTTTGGGATTAACAGATACACACTACTATATGTAAAATAGATAAACAACAGGTCCTACTATATAGCACAGGGAACTATATTCAATATCTTGTAATAATCTATAAAGGAAAAGCATATGAAAAAGAACATATATATGTATAATTGAATCACTTTGCTGTACACCTGAAACTAACACGACATTGTAAATCAACTGTACTTCAATTAAAAAAAAATTTGTGATTTAAAAAAGAGGAAAACTGAGCACACTGGGAATGGAAGAGAACTTCCTTAATCTGATTTTAAAGTTATAAAATATATAGTAACTATTATGCTTACTAGTAAAATACTGAAAGTTTATGCTTTATTTTTGAGATCAAGAAAAAAGATAAGAAAGCCTACTGTCATCATTGCTATTCAACACTGAAGTGAGGGTGCCGCCCAAACAATAGGCCAGAAACAGTAAAACGTAGCCATGAAGATTAAAAAAGACAGAGAGTCATTAAATATTTGAACATGATTGAGCACATTTATAAAGGTCAAAAGACACTACTAACTATTAGAATTAACAATTAAATTTATCAAAGTTGTTGGATACAGAGGTAATTTCTATAAGCCTGTATAGACACACTTAAAAATGAAATTAAAAGTGTCAATTATGTTAACATCA